CGTTCTCTCTCTCTCTCTCTCTCTCGGCTTCAAACGGTTAAAGAAAATGGCGTCTGGATTTAAAAAAAAAGTTTTGGTGATTCGTGGTTTTTCGTGGAGATTGGCAAAGTGTAAAGCGCCGAGGACGGGTTAGCTCAGTCGGTATAGCGATTCGGCTACGGGTTGAAAGACCGAGGAACCGGGGTTAGATTCCCGGTAGTCCAGGCCGAATCTGGGGCCTGCCCAGCCGGGCTGTTACATATCCAGTTCACAATTCACCTCATCCTACCATTCTGCGCTGTATAGTTGAGACACAGATTCGTAAAATGTCCCATACATACGGGGGCACGCGGTAGCGTAGTTGTTTTAGGTACCACGCTTCAAGCCAGAATGTCACGGGTCCATTGAAGTTTTCAATTGACCTAATNCTCCTTCCAGCCGCACTATGACCCTGGGGTCGATTCAGCCTCTAACAGAAATGAGTACCAGGAATCTTCCTGGGGGGCAAAGGGCGGCCGGAGCGTAAGGCTGACAACCTCACCGCCATCTGTAAACCGATTGTCTAGAAAATATGGGAGCCTTGACGTCTCACAACCCCATGGGTTTCCACGGCCTGTTGCAGGGATACCTTTACTTTTATCTTTGTGTATGTGTGTGTGGTTGGTTTGTTACTTTTGAAACGCGCTGTAGATATTATTACATGTACTGTACTGTGCTTTCTCCTTTTGTGATCGTGAAAACCAGACTTGCAGCTACAGATTTCCCCCCTCACTCATTCCCTGTCTTATCTTGTATTTCTCCTTTTTACCGTTGCGAGATTCAGTCTACCAATTGTCGTTTTTGTATTGTATTCCTTTTCTGTTCACAAAACCCTAGACAGGAACATTACAAAAGTTTCTGTTGCTTCGCAGAAACCAATTTTCGCCCTCTGTTACCCAGCTGCATCATTTCTTTCGAATGGTTTACGGGTTTACCGACTGGCCATTTCGTTTTTCGATGCAATGCCGATAACCTAACCACCGTCCATGTTTTCAGAACTGGTAATTCTCAACAGAATGCGCTGGTTTTGCTTGAGGCCACTTAACTGATATATGGATTGTAGGGTGTGTATGGGATATAAGTTACATGCGTCGCCCTTCGTCCCTCAATGCAACTGTCATACCTCACGAGGTAGGTCTACAAACACGGTCTGTAATAGCAGGGATAATTCTATGCCTTCTGCTACTGGCTGTATGTAAAACTAACAACAATGAACCATCACTTGGGTGTTGTCGAGCCACAAGGAGGAAATATAACCTTATATTTAAGTGATCTGCTCGGGCTAGTGGCCGAACGCCAAGTACAGTACGTATGACCATACAAATATTTACCAGTCGCCCGCCCCATCACAAAGCTGCTAACAATCCACCTTATAATGCAGATTGAGGCAAAGACTAACATTAAAATTGTTTTGGGGTATTTATATATGGCAGATTTTCTTCTTTTTCAGTCGTTATTTTTTAAATTCAAGGGGGGGATCAAATGCCTGGCATCATCCTACTTTTGGCGGTTTTTTTTTTATGTATAACCTGTCCACCGATCAAGTTTACCGAAGAAACCCGATATTTTGGCCGTGTGAAGGTCACATGAACGACATTTGCTTGTGACAAATATTTTTAACGATTTAGCCTACAAAGAAGTTTGAAAAGTATAGGGCTGTTAATTTTTGTTTTGTTTTGTTTGTCTGTCTTTAATTCTAACAACCAGGCTGAATTTCACAGACTGCAAATTTCAGCCTCGTAGTTGATTGTAAAGTTTTGTAATTGTGTCAGCATACCTCAGTTACACGAGAATCGCGTGTAGGTGGCAGTAGTGATTGACAGTACATTTGTTATATCCTGCTTTCTATATTGTTTGGCAATACGTGTCATATCAGATTAAATAATAGCATTTGCAATATTATCACTTAGGCGCCCCCCCCCCCACACACACACACACAATTATCTGTATTCTTAGCATATCAGTTCTGTATATGCCTGTCATTACTTAAATAATCCCACTTCTACCATTGATCGTATTGAAACCAGATAACAAATGCCATGCATCATGTAACATTATCTGTATGAAGAAATACCGCAGATTAAATGTGGGGAATGCTTGCCACTGTTCAGTTAAGCAATTTTTCACATACTTACTTACTTACTTACTTACTTACTTACTTACTTATGAAGCTGAGCCCTTCTTGAGGAGCCGCCAGTTCTGCAGCTACTCAAGAATTTCCCAGCATTTTATGGAACCCGAAGGTTCATTACCGTGTTCACAAGAGCCCTCCACTTGTCCCTATCCTGAGCCAGATCTATCCAATCCATACCATCCCATCCTATCTCTCTGAAATCAATTTTAATATTTTCCACCCACCTACGCCTTGGTGTTCCCTGTGGTCTCTTTCCATCTGGCTTTCCCACCAATAGCCTATACGCATTCCTCGTCTCCCCCATTCGTGCTAAATTATCCAAGGAATCAGTCCAGGTCCGAGGCTTTGTGTTCATTTTCGTAACATAATGATTTTTTACGGTGAGGAGTTGTTAGCCCCACGCCCAACCCCCAAGCTGGAGGGCCACCCCTTGTCGGCTGTCCGCGACTGCTTATTCAATATATTCACAGCTTCCCTCCAAAACTGGAGGGCGTCTCCTCCATCCGCAACCTGAGGACGCGCCATGCCGTGGTGACAGGGACCCACCTAACATGGAATTTTTCACATATGCTATCGAAAATCATGAAGATTAAAATATACAAAAAATTATAATTTTATCATATTTTATATGAGTGTGCAACTTTAAAGGACAGGGAGAAGAGTGTTGCATATAGGATATTTGTGTGAAAGCCAGAAGGAAAGAGACCACTAGGAAGACCAAGACATATGTGGGTGGATAATATTAAAACGAGTCATAGAGAGATAGAATGGAGTGGTATAGACTGGATTGATCTGGCTCAGGATAGGTATCAGTGCAAGGCTCTTGTGAACACGGTAATGAAGCTTCAGGTTCCATAAAATGTTTGGAAGTTCTTGAGTAGCTGCATGACTGTCAGCTTCTCAAGAAGGGCTCATCTCCATGTAGTTATTTAATTAATTAATGAAACTTTAAAAGAAGAAAACAGTACTCATCACTATCAATCTTTCAGGATGTGACATCATATTGTCTGGTAGAAGTTCAATGATGTTATGAAGGAATATACTATTTCTGTCATGAACTTGCTTGCTGTAACCCTGAAGATGGAGGCAGCAGGTTCCTTCAAAACATTGGTACCTATCTACCGGACTACACAGCATCACATCCTCAAATCTCACAATATGAACTTTGTTTGAGCATATTGACTTAGAAAGTGTCTTACTGAACAAAGCAGATAATCCAGTGTTTAACCTATAAAAATAGCGTTCCGATTTAACCCTTAGAAAGAAGAGTGGTTTTTATATGTACCACCTATTTTAACATTGAAAGGAACTGTAAAACTTGCCCACATATATCATATATGTATTTCATATTATCCTCATAATAAATATTGATTATTTTCCTAAAAACCATTGATCAATTTGTCTTTGTAATGGAGAAAAGGTATGTTTGCAGTGAGAAAGGCACTGAATAGTTCAATTTATTTATATAAAGTTCAGGCTCCAAGTGGTTAAGTATAGTTCTTACATTGACTTTTCCTATGTACCAGTCACATCTGCTTAGCTTGAAGCTATGTAAAATTATTTCTTACTTACTCCTAGGGTCTGTGGTTCTCTAAGAAACTTGACCCAGTCTGCAACAGATGTCCATTTTCTGTTATTTGCCATTTGCTTCTGGGGCTCACCCAGCCTCCTGTCCAGTTGCTACGGGGGGCTCATTCCACAGGAGGTAAAGTGACAGAGGTGTTAAGGTGACCATTCACCTCCAACTAGAGCAGAGGTTAAGAAAGGTGGAGCTACACGTTCATTCCCCTGTATGTCTTCACGGTGTAGTACTGCATTAATTAAGCACAGGGACTATTTTTTTTAATTCGCTTAATGGGGGGTAGAGTCCAACTGGGTCCACTCGGCACGGTGGCCGCTGATTGGCCTATTGTAGCCCTCCTCGGGTGATTATGATGATGGAGAATTTGATTGGAATGAAGATGGGCAAGGGAAACCGAAGTACTGGGAGAAAACCCGCCCCAGCGCCACTTTGTCCACCACAAATCCCACTTGACCAGACTCGGGATCGAAACTGGGCCACCACGGTGGGAAGCCAGCGACTAACCGCTTCAGTTATGGCGCGGCCAGGGACAACTTTACATTTACCTGTATCTTTTCACATTTAGTTCTCATGAATCATTCTGTACATCTTCTGGACCTTCTCATTTTTCCTTGCCTTTTGGCTTACCTGCAGGATTACATATAATTATTATTATTTTTATGATATTAAGTTGCAGATATGGAGAACGAATGTTTTCCTTGCATCCCACTTGTTGCTGCAAGATCCAGAGAATCAGATTCCCCAATTGTAGTAAAGGAAGAACCAATGAGTGAGCCAGGATCTCCAGATTCATGTCCAATGTCACCAACTTCACCACAGTCTCTCATACACACTGATGCCAAGTATGATCCGCACAAGGTAAGGGAGATGTATGAGTCCTTCATTCCTTATTGGAGTAGAAAAAAAGGTTGCATGAAATGCTGTTATTTTATGATTTCATGTACCATTGTTTCCATTTTATAACGGGCAACAGTGAATGAACAGCCTCCAGTTTCTTCCCTCCTCTTTCCTTTTCATTAAACTCCTTTACCTATTTTTTACCTAATATCCAGCTGAACCATCTTTCTGAATAATCGCAGAGTTATGTTTCCTTTAAATTTTAATTCAAATGCCCATTTCAATATCCTTATCATATCCATTCTTTATACATGACCCAACTAATGTAATCATTTCCTTACCAACTGTGTTAAATTTTGAATTCAAAATATCTATGACAATGTTATTTCTAATTTTATCCTTTTTTTTTTGTTTTCCCATAAAAATATTTTACATAATTTACTAGCGACTGCACTTTGCAATCATATTGCAATCCAATACTGAAAATAATACAAAATACAGGTTTCAAGAAGCTTTTCTTAAAAATCATTTTGCATGAATATGATAAGTGACAGTAGAGAGGCTAATGTTGGCAGGTGAACATGCTGGTGGATTTAACAATAGTATTTATCTGAACTAGGACATGCATACTCATAAACTCACATGGCATTACTATACTCATAGTTCATAGTACAGAGCCTAAACACTTATCTGTTCATGGTTGTTGTAATAATTTGCTTCAAATCAAGTCACATTTGAACACCTGCTGCACCCAGTTAAACCTTGCGATTTATATGCAGGGTTATAGTGGCCCAGAGTGGTGCCCTGGTACTGGGGGAGCTATCCTGAAACTTCTAAAGACTCACTCACTCATGGAGCTGAACCATCCTTGAGAAGCTGCCAATTGTGCAGCTACTCAAAAACTTAACCAACATTTTATGGAACCTGAAGTTTCATTACCTTGTTCACAAGAGCCCTCTACTGGTACCTATCTGAAACCAAATTTCGTCTAAAGGCACTGCTGTGAAATATAAAGTTCTTATAACTCTAAAAGTTTGTGACTAAGGTACATAAATAAAAAAAGAATGTTGCTTTAGATAAAAACAGGAGGGTGTTTGAGATCAAAGCAGGACAATGGATGATGTCCAGAAACATAATACATTTTGTGTTTGTGTCTATGTACCATCATGTTTTTAAATAAGAACATGACTGTGTTTGAGATAAAAACAGGATAATGGTTAATGTTCAGAAACATAGTATTTGTATTCTTATAGCTCATTTAATTTCTGACCTGTGAGGTGCAAGCGTCAGTCTCTTTATATACCTATGTGCCTTTCTTGATTTTTCATACAGTTCTACATTTAGAAATGTGAAGTTATAATTAGGTAGTGAGAATGGCTTCATATTATGATTTATTTCTTTTGACTTTGACTGTGTGCTAACTCCCATGGCACTTTCATTTTTAGGACTGCATCCCTGGTTATATGCAGGTATTCCCAGTGCTATAATACCCATGTGTTTCAGACTGCAAGCCAACAACAGAGTGTACTGAAGCAGCCAACAATTTTGCTTACAACACGGAGCAACCTCTTCAGTCAGCAAAACAGAGTTGTCATACCAAAGCTAAACATCAAACTGGAAACAAACAGAACAGCAGGTGAGGATGTCTGATGTTCCCTTTGCCTTATTATTTTTTCCACTGCCAAAATTGTGAAGCACTGACATGTCCTACAGACTAGATTTCTTTTGTCAGTATTTCAGGTTTTACATCCTCCTGCCCTCCTCCCCCCTCCCCCATTTGGGTATTCTCTCAGTTTTGGACCTGAGGCAGCTCAGTTGGTATAGCAACAGGCCATGAGCTAGATGACCAAGATTCGATTCTCGACAGGGGCAAGAGATTCTTTTCTGCACCGCAGTATCCAAACCTACTCTGGGCCTCACCCACCCTCATATTCAATAGGCGCTATGGTTTTTTCTCCGGGAGTAAAACGGCCGGAGCGTGAAACTGACCACTCACCTCCATCTAGTGGTGAGGTCAAGAATGGTGGAGCTATACCTCCACTCCCCTATATTTCTTCATGCTGTGCTGCTAAATTAATTGAACATGGGGACAACTTTACACTTTACTTGAGCTGTATTTCCTAAGTTTACTGTCCCTTCAGCTTGCGTCCTTTGAACAGGCCCAAAAATTCAAATGTCAAGAACATGAGATGTGAGTGTATTCAGTGCCGATGCGGTGAAAATATCAAATGTACTGGAAACTATAAAGGACTGAGTGGCTAGTTTGAGCCACACGAGGAGGTTGGACAGTTCTTGGTTTGGCAGTTATTTTTAAAGCCAACAACTTCTTGTTTCCTCCTCATCCTCCCCCTCCTCTTGGATCTTCCCATGGGTCTCCTTCCCTTAAATTTTAATTCTAATACCTTTTTAAATATCCGTATCTTATCCATTATTCTGACATAATTGTTAACTGGATTCATACATTGTTTTATGTGTCTAGGATTCCCACTTCCTCCGACACCACCCTCGTCAACGGCAAGTGACAGTGAAGGCAATGTTTCTCCAGACCACAACCCTTCATCACCAAGTAGACATATGCGACAGCAGCAGCAGCAGCATCAGCACAATGGTACAACACGGCTGTTAGTATCCAGCAACACTTCAACACCAGCAGCATCAAACCGACAGCCGATACAGACACCTCTTATTAGCAATCAACCAGTAAGTGAGGGTAGAACACAGAGGTTAACTGAATTCAATGAAAATGCATTCACTAATCACAGTGGTACATGTTCTTTGGTTGCTAGTTCAGTTAACAGGGCTGTCCCATATGTCACGTAGTTAGGCATTGGCTTCCATCCACTTAGTTAGTTATTGGAGAGGGTGGGTTTCCCCATGCACTGAGACCTGTATTGGTCCATTGTGCTTCCCTCTATGATTTCTACCAGTCTCTATATCCTACCGGTACTGGTGCTCACCATCAGTCCCGCCCAGCCAGCGAGACCGGCTCTACTAGCTGAGAGATATCTATAATGCTTCCCCCATCTACCAAGACTGCTGTTGGGCGGGAAACGTCCTTGAATTTGGCTCAGTGACCTCCTTTGGAGATATGAGGTTCTTTTACGTGCCGTAAAGGTACGACATGGGACCCACAGCTTAAAGTCCCTCCCGGAGGACTTGTTCCCTGAATTTTTCTGCCCTTAAAAATTCGATGACCTCCGCCGGGTATTTGAACCCGCGTACCACGAGTCATGGGGTGGGAACGTTACCTCTAGACTACGGAGGCCGCTTTCCATCCACTTAGTCTCAAGTTTGTTAAAATTCATGGTGTTCAAAATGTCGCAAGAGTAATGCTTTCTCCTCTTTCCTTTTGGGGTTTCTCTGCTAATCATCATTTCATGATTGTTTTCTATTCTTCTGTTACTTCTGAGGTATGCGATGGCCCTGGTAAGGCAGCACATCAATGCATTTTAAGTCTGAAACTGGTTACAGTGTAAAGAAGTTAGGTGAAAATTGTAGAAAGCAGTGTCATAGTAGCCTTATCATTTGAGGTTACTTCCAACAGAAAAAATTGTATATGCATTTCTCATCTCCTCCATATGGAGGCAGAATGGCAAGACAGTCAGCAGGTTGAAGAGTGGCTACAGGACAGGCAATCAGAACCCCAGGGTGCTGAACACGATATGAGGCAGTCAAAGCGCATCAGTGAAAAGGCTTATGAGCCTGTTGACTTTGAGTGGGAAACAGCGTAGGCTGGTACAAGGGCTGCATGCTGGCCCCTGTACTCTGTGGTGGTGCCTACATAGTATGGACCTTTCTTAAAGCACCATGTGCAAGAAGTGCGGATACAGGGACGAATCCTTCTACCACATATTTCTTCAGTGCCCAGATTTGGCTAGACATAGAACAGAGATCTTTAGTTCTGCATGGCTAGATCCATTGAATACAAGGAGGGCCTCAGTCAGGATGGTTCTGTCTCTTGCGTTATAGTCAGGTTTCTTCAGTGGGACTTACCAAGATCAGGGGTGCACAAATTGCCCGGTAGTCTGAATTCCTGGAGTGAATAAGGTTGTCTCTCTCTCTCTCTATGTTAGTAAGAATAAGGAGAATATGAGCTCACCACATATCTGTATAGTTCCAGATTAAGAATATAGCATCATTTCTGCCACAAATTCATCACATGAAGCTTAAGAGCAGAAAGAATTTTGCCTTTTTAACTGTGCAGGAATTGGTTGTTAGATTCAACTGTTCTTTCTTTCTTTAATTTCTGACATCTTATACACATATTATGTATTTCATGTTATAGAAGGGGTCAACAGGGATGCTGTTGCTCACTGAAGAAGAAAAGAGAACACTGCTTGCAGAGGGTTACCCCATCCCTACAAGATTGCCTCTCACAAAAGCTGAAGAAAAATCACTAAAGAAAATCAGGAGAAAAATAAAAAATAAAGTAAGGATTTGTTAGTCATGAAGTGTCTGTCACTGTATATTGTGTATCTGAGGGCCAAACCACTCAACCACTGAGTGTTATGGGTGGTCAAATAAGTGACCAAAACAAAGTGAAGAAAAACTGAGGTTAGGTATTTTTTGATGAAGTTTGTTTCTAAGGGCAGCCTTTGCACAAAACTTTCTTTTCTGTGTAACAGTACTCTTTGGTAAATTTTGTTATTACAGCAGGTGTAATGTCTTAATATGTAGGTAACTGTCTTTTGAGAAATTTTCAAATTAATGAGGTTAGGTATTTTCGTTGAAGTAGGTATGTAAGAAATACCTGTTGAAATTTTGGCGGGCTGTATGCTTGTAGCTAGTAAATCAGTATCACTAATACTAGAGGTTTTCAAAACATGTAGAATTGTACTTCAAAAGTGTCTATGTTTTTTTCTTAGTTCAGTTTTTGTTTAATCCACAATTTGTCATCTTCTGCTGAGATATACAAAGCAAAGAATTTGTAATTATGTCAGACCCGATGTAATTGAAATGTATTCATATAAGAATATTTATATGTGGGAATAAGAACAGCAGGGAAGTGAAGTAACAAGTGGAAAAATATTCTAGCATCTTCTGCATGATTAAAAGTGTAGTGTGTGATGCAACTTTTTATTACTAAAAATTTTAGTGTAGATGACATATGAATCAGTTCGTTTCCTCTTCTGGCAACAAGTTCCTGAAGTCTGTGTTTTTTTCATGAAAGATTTCAGCTCAGGAGAGCAGAAGGAAGAAAAAAGAGTATATGGATGCACTGGAGAGGAAAGTTGAAGTGTTGACAGGTGAAAACACTGACTACAAAAAGAAGATTGAGAGCTTGGAGGAAAACAATGCATCCCTATTGAGTCAACTACAGAAACTTCAAGCCCTTGTAGCACGGAGTTCTACTGCCAGTACAACAGGCACAAGCACCCGTGTTGTCAGGCACACAGATACCACGACTTTCACCTCAGTGAGTAGCCAGAAAAGTGCCTTAAAATGTGCTGGGACTAATCTGCTGTTTCTGTCATTTCTCCTTTTTGCTCATCATCTCGTGCTGTTCTCCTTTCTCCTCCTCCTCCTCCTCCTCCTCCTCCTCCTCCTCCTCCCTCTTCTTCTTGGTGCTTATCCCATGACTTTCGTCTTCAAATCATGCTTCAGTGTTTATCTGGTAACTATTACCAGTGAACATACTCTGTAGAGAATCCTTAAATTTCACCTTCCTCAGAATGTTAAATAAAAATATATGTTTTAAGGTGAAGAGAGTATTTTGCATTTGAAACGTGGTATTGCCACATTATGTTGTATTTTATGGGTTTTCCCAAGGTGACCAAACCCAGATAATTATGGAATAAGGGAACCAGCGAAGATAACTGTTTATTTCTGTTTCCACAGTCTCACATGAACCAGCAGCACATCACCCGGAGTTCAATAAAATAGATCATCACTTCTTGAGAATCATTCAGGCGATTACCTCTGTAAATATGGGTAAGTTACATATAAGCATTCTACAAGAAACATGATACCTTCATGATGACAGTGCTGCTCTCAGTATTATAGTAGTTGAAACATCTCACTGCTGCCACACCTTATAATAAACATATAACTTGTTTCATGTTAACTCTACCAGTTGTCATGTTCAAATAGTTTGTGCTGCTGCTTTGTATTTGAGACGTTCTGAATTCAGATCTCAATCAAGAGAACTGACTGACATTTTTTGAGGTTTTCCTCAGTCCTTCTGGAAGTACCAGTTTATTATTTCAAATTAGGTGTCATCTTCCTCCTTCCACATTATTTCCAGCGCATTATGCCCTAACTGTCCTATCACTTGATGCTTTGTAGTGCCATCTGCCAGCTTCATAATTAGATAAACCATAAATAAAATAAATAAGCACATTACCTTTGCTGAACCATGTACAAATCCCACCTCAGTCATAAATGGTAGAAATAAACTTTCATTCTGTACTAGCAGTTGGTTATTTATTTGTTGTTGGTATCCTTGCTAGTATCCATTCTTTGACATGACCAAACGACATGAATTATGTCTGTTTTATACTCTCTTTAACACATTTTGAGCTTCAACTTCTCTAAAATTTTCGTTTTTAACTCTAATAATCGGCATGTCATACCGAAAAGAGAATCTACACATGAATAATCACCTTTCCTGTCATATTCAGGGAAACCTCAATGTTACACCTTACTAGAATATAGAGAAAATCTGAAACTATCTTCTGCCATTGCAAGAATACAGGAGATAAATTATGTTAGGATGGACAAATATAAGTTTGGAAATAAGGGAGAGAAGAATGAAGGAGATAAAGATATGAAAGGGTTAGAGAATGGAAGCAATAAATGATTTTGCCTGTCATCTGTGATAGGTCATATGTTAGTTAGTTAGTTATTGGAGAGGGTGGGTTTCCCCATGCACTTAGACCAATATTGGTCCATTGTGCTTCCCTCTATGATATTCTACCAGTCTCTATACCCTACCAACATTGTTGCGTACCATCAGTCCCGACTGAGCCAGCGAGTTCGGCCTCTATTGGCTTGGCGGTATCTATAATGCTTCCCCCATCTATCAGAGGCGTTAGAGACTAGTGTTGGGCGGGAAACGTCCTTGAATTTGGCTCAGTTACCTCCTTTGGAGATATGAGGTTCTTTTATGTGCCGTAAAGCTACGACACAGGACCCACGGCTTAAAGTCCCTCCCGGAGGACTTGTTCCCTGAATTTTTCCACCCTTAAAAATTCCACAACCTCCGCTGGGTTTGAACCCGCGTACCACGAGTCATGAGGTGGGATCGTCACCTCTAGACTACGGAGGCCACTTAGGTCATATGTTAGTTCAGTTCTAAATGCAATCACTATATCACATTTCTCTCTGCAATATTATGTACCATAATATAAACTGACTTAATCTTTGTGCTGTGAAAAGGATTAACCTTCACTTTTTTTTGTCTAGGTGCAGGGATATTGGTCTGCCATCTTTCTAAGGAGCTCACTCCTATCTTCATGAATATGTGCTCAGTGCTAGTCTTCCATCCTCCTACGTTCATTGAACAGAGATTGGTGCAGCAAGAATTAGCTGAGCTAAAATAAGAATAAGTGAACATAAATACTGCAGGATTGTTTTGAGACACACAGTTCAGCACTGTGCTTCAAGGTGACAGAATTGATACCATTTTTNATAAATTACTGTCACAGAAAATTGTATTATTCGGTAATCTCCAGAAGATAAGTGCTGTGAGTAATAATGTATTAATGACATCTTTTGAAAATACATGGTTTGAAGCTTTCACTGCTACCATATGCAATGAAGTCTTCTTGGGTGATTGACCATGTGAAGATGGATTTGGTGTCCAACGTTTTGGAGACTGTCTTTATTTCCAGTCTTCAGGGATTAATGAATAATATGGTTGCACATAGTATTTATGCCCAAAGAGTATGGTGTTGGAGCCCATTGTCCTGCCCCATCATGAACTACTGGGGGAGCAACGGAGAAGACTTCATTGTTTTTTTGAAAAGTTTGTTGGTTATGCTAGAAAGACTGTAGATTATATTATTGTATTAAGGAAAATAATTCATATGTAAGAAAATGGAAAGTGTCCTTTTCAGCATTTCTATTTACACGCAATGTTTTTCATGTTCTTATCTTTTCTCGTAAATGAAAAATCATTGGGATTTAATAAATCCTTGGTTATCCCTGTACTATTCTCAGGACATTGCTTTAAATCACCATTGCTACTTTTCAGTTTTTCTGTGCTAGCTACCATGAAACGTTTTCTGTTTATTTGGGATTGATAGGTTCATTTTTATAAAAATGCTGATATTTTCATGCACAAATATGATTATAGTTTTCTACGTCAGATGTCAGACATTTGTTACAGATTATGTAACAACACATAAGTGCACGTCCATATAGTTTTTACTAAGACTGGTAACACCATTCCACATCAAGTAACGTAAGTTAACACTGAACATTAATTACATCCATTTTCCATTACTTACATCAGTACAGTAAGTGTGATGATTCTAGATGTATGTTACCATTGTTGCTCAAGGGTTACTTAGTCTAGTTCTGGTACAGTGAAGAACTATGGTAGCACAAGAATATATATAAATATAAGAGAAAACAGGAACTTTTTTCATTGACATTTTAGCTGAACTGTCTGATTTTAGGGGAGCATGGGACGGTAGCATGCGTCAGCAACTGCCCACATATCCATATGCTCACTTATGGTTGTACTTTGCGTATTTGTTCTCAATTTTATTTAATTTCATTCCTAATAAGTGATATAGCATATGTTGGTAAGAGAATTTTGATACTAGAACAAATAATTTCATATTCAGTGTTGTCTCTTATGAGCATTTTACTTTTATGCTTAATATACTAAGTTTATATGGGCAGGTTTGCTCCAAATCCAATCTTTTAGGTGGACGTTATATCTCTCTTTTCCAAAGGCTCCACCACAGATGCATTGTTACATTAGTAATTCAACAACATTCCATCATCAAATCTTGAGATAAAGGTACATAATTTTTATACGAATATAATTTTAATGAATGGGGTGAAGTAGTCAGAGGTACAAAATTATAGTTTTCTATGAAAAATATTATTTTAAGATGCATTGTTTTAAAATTAGAGTGGATTGTAATGAAATAATGTCCCACTATGAGGTAGTATTAGATTTTATACCGATGTTTTATAACCTCAGTGGGTATAATCTTCACCTGGTACGGCAATTCGTCTTAAATATTAAGTTTTACACGAATATTTAAAATAGTGTGCCGCTACAAGATTTGGAATCTTCTTTATTTGATTATAAACTCTGAAGTTGTCTATTAAATCTGAGAAGAAAAGTTAAGAGAGATAATAGGTAATGTAATATTTGTTTCCTTGTGGTGTATACTCATATTTTGTATAGTTTTAAGTTACAGCTTCCTTACTGCTATTGAGCTTGCTCCAGTTTTAATTTCATAAAATTCAACAGTTCTTATAAATAACCGTCATAGATACATCTCTAGTTGGTATAGTTAACAGTACGTTATAAGCTGTGCCAGCGACAGACATACCTAGAGCTGGTATACTTTGTAGTATGAGTACATTCCTTTTCTAGAAGCCAAACAATATGCCATTGACACAGATGTACCTGAAGTTGGTGTAGTTTACACTATATTTCTTTTTTGGAAGCCATAAATTGTACCACTGACAGAAATATATCTGGAGTTGGTGTAGTTTACAGTACACTTCTTTTTTGGAAGCCATAAAGTGTGCCAGTAACAGATATATTTGGATTTTTGTACAGAGTGCATCAGAAAGAATGGATGGATTTCATAGGGCAATAAAATTGGTAAGGCTTCATCAAATCCAAATTTTATTGTTACCTTCAAATTCGCCAATACATGTAGTTTATTTGTGGAATATGATATCATCCGTATGACGTTCTTGGCTTCTGATACAGACGTCGAGGAGTTTTCTAAAGTTATTCATCACTCTCGAGGTCATATCTGATGGAATCACCGTAATTTCTTCTCGAATCACTGTCTTCAGCTTGTCCAGTATATTTGGTCGATGTTCATAAACTTCCGCCTTCAAATGGCCCCAAAGGAAGAAATCGCAGGGTGCAAGATTGGGCAAACATGTGGGCCAAGGAATGTCACCATGATGCGAGATTATGTGCCCTGGAAAGAGCCCTCTCAGGAGATCCATTGTTAGTCGCACAGTGTGAATAGTGGTCCCATCTTGTTGAAACCAAATGTCCTCAGCATCAATAGCAAGCTCGTTCAGCCTTGGTTGAAGGAAATTTTGTAACATTTCAATGTAACAAGTGCTTGTAATGGTTACTGCACAGCCGTCCTCAAAAAAGTAACGCCCCCAAACACCAAATTCTGCTACAGCACACCAAACAGTTACTGTCTCACTGTGAAGATGTCTCTCGTGCAGTTCTTTAGGATTTGTTCCTGTCCAATGCCGGAAATTCTGTTTATCTTCGTCACTGGTCAGTAGGGGGCACGTTCGCAAGAATACGCTGGCAACTGTTAACACGATTCTCCCAGTCTTCTGCATTCAGTTGTTGCACAATTGCCATTTTGTAGGGGTGAAATTTAAGGTCTAAATGCAAAATGATTCTTACCGTAGCATCGGATAATCTCAGAGCAGCAGCATTTTTGCGAGCTGATCGTTGAGGTGATTGAACAACTGACTATCTTACTAGCTCCACATTTGCAGGCGTACAAATGCTCCATGGCCGTTCAGGTGATTTCTTCTTTAAGATTGAACCAGTGGCATGAAATGAAGCCACCCACCGCAAAATTATGTTCTGAGTAGGGATCCTATCATGACATCCGAGCTCGAAATGAGTGCAGAAGGCTCATTGAGTGGCGATCACAGACTCTATTTTTCAAAAACGTTTCTACGATGAATGCATGCTGTGCACCCGTCCACTCAAAGCAACCGAAACTGCATTCTCCTGCCAACCAAACGGCCCCCCCCTCTATGCCTCCCCCTGTCGCGGCGTAACGGTCGCTTGAAATCCAACCATTCTTTCTGATGTACCCTGTAGTACATTTCTTATTGGAAGCTATAAACTGTGTCAGGTGCTACTCTACATATTTTCAAGTAATTAGAGCAACAAATTTTTGGTTATATTCACTTTCCTTTTACATGATCAGTAAGTTTTGTTCAAAATACTGATTACCACATAACTTCATAACTGATGTATAAGATAATTTGTTCACTAGCTTTAGGTGTTCAAAAATTCAGAGGCCCTGATTTTGGAAAGATTTGGTCAGAAGTGTACAATCTTCAAAGGTATACAGTCTTGACACATCTGTACTTGAATTTCATTGGACAGTTTTTGTAAGAATTGGCTATTCTGAGGCCACAAAAATAAGTCCACTGGATGATGTGGATGTTGGTTCTCAACTCTTTCCCATTTCTAACTACTATTATATTCCCATCTGGTGACATGTACGGTGAAATGAACTTTTTTTAATTATAGAGAGCTTTTTTTGCTACTTCATTTATGAAGTCACACGTCAGTGAGATTAATTTGGTATTCAAACAGGAACATGGAAACATTTCTCATACTCTGTTAGTGAAATAGCTTAGGAGGTTTGAAATAAAGGACTATGATACTTAATATTATGCAGGTTCATATTGGATATCTTTTCTGGCCCTCAAATTGTTGAGTAAAGTGGTATCTTATGGAGATATAAATCAGCTGTTGGTAGTACATAACAATTTATCTAGCTCTGGGTATGCAGACACAGCTATTTACACGTGAGTCCAATATATAGTCTCATTTATAGAACATTTGTTGAAACCCTTGATGTTGGAGATTTTTATGATTATTTTGAAAGGCTGGACTTCATGGATTCAAAACTTGAGAATACAATTTACAGAATATTGATTCAAGTACAGTTATAAATATTTTTCTGTTTCATATTCAGAATTTATGATAAATATACATATTCTTTTATGTAAAGCTGCAGTATTTGTGGTATAGACTTGGTATTCTTTCTGTTTGAGACTGAAATTGCCCAGTCTGAAATTATTGTGAAAGCTGGAAACTGCCGATGTTGGAAGGAAGTGTAACTTAGTTAAATGGAGTGTGAAGATTGGCATACATCTCCTCTTTATTTCTTAATTCCAATTTGTGACAAGGGAGAAAATATTGTATGCTTCAAAACTAGTTACATGATAATAGGTTCTTATAACATAACCTCTCTTTGAAAAGATTATACATGCGAGGTTATAGTACACCCATATTATGTTCTGTTTTGTTGTGATGTGTTCTGGAATTTGAATGTACTTAGAGATAATTTACATGTTACTTTCTCAGATGTTACATCATATAAATTATTTACTAAAACAGTGTAAAATAGTTATTTCATTTTGTCACCAGTTTGTAACTTGTACATTAGGATTGCTGTTTGATTCAAAATTTTATACCCATGTGTAGTGTAGGTGTAAGCTGAAATGCCATCCCAGGCAATGAGAAAATCCCCCCCCCCTGTTAAAAACAGCTCTATTTTGTCAAAAACTTCTTCACAGTAACACCATATTTTAAGACAGTGTGATGAAAACATTTTTATTTGGGTGTCAGAATAACACATTCAGATTATTGCCAATTAATGGTTATGATATGAACAAGGGAGGAGCAGAAGTTAATTGTCAT